TGATACAGTCTTTTCAACTAGCTAGCTACCAACCTCACACAGGTTTTTTTGACACATGTTCTGCACGACAGCAATATAATAAATGCACACAAGAAATTACTGAGCCCTGCACATGACATGCAGAAAATATATTTATTTATTTAGGCCACGAATTAAGAATTTGTTCCCTCGTTTTAATTAAAAGGTCCCCCTCGGCGGGCCCCCAATCAGCCCGGGCCCATATGCACGTGCATACCCTGCATACCCAGACGCTACGCCCCTGCTTCTCTCACAAAACATCTGCTTTGACCTCCAAAATATTTGCATTCTTTCACAAAACGCTCCGGTTACTGACCTTGATTCCCTGAGATAACGGGAACGTTGCATTTACGATGCTTGGGGGAATCTCCGTTTTCCTCCGAATAGCCTACTGAAGCCTGATTTGTTAATGTTTGTGCAACTGAGTAGCGGCAGCATCGATTTTTGTATTATATCATATTATCATTTTTGTATTATAGACCAATTTCGTGTAGACGTCACAGTTACTCGTAGCTGCGCGCGCATTCTGGTGGCAGAAAAAAATACTGGTAACAAGTGGAGTGAAATGGGAAAAATCCATGGAATAAGAGATAAAAATGTATTGTTGTGCCTTTGGATGTCAGAATCGGAATGCAAATCATTTTTATAGAATTCTGTCGTCAAAAACACCATTTGAAGCTAAACGCAGACGTTTAAACGGACAGACTAATGAATGAAACCTGCTATGATTACTCTGCTTTTAAAGCATAAATTTGATTTAAACAATTGGTCTTCATAATATTCACATATGCAGTTCATAGGGAACATATTATATTAGCCCTACAGTTACAGCATGAAATACTATTTAAACCTATAACATTTTACATTTACCTATTTTGTCTCACAATTCTGACTTTTTTTCTCGCAAATGCAACTTTATATCTCGTATTTCGGACTTTATAAATCAATTTAACTCAACAATAGCGAGTTTTTCCATTCGGAGGGGGGAAAAAAAGCCAGAAGTGTGGAATATAAACTGAAAAGAGAGAATGACGAGTTGATTTTTCTTATCAGAATTGTGAGATATAATCTCGGAATTGCGAGAATAAAGTCAGAATTTTGAAATATAAACTCAAATTGACCTTTTTTTATTCTTTTATTCCATGGTTTCCATAGACCGCCACTTGAAAACTGTCATTTTCTGCCTCCAGATAGGCTCCGCCCACAAAAAACTTCATCACTGTTTGCAAACACCAAGTTGGTCTATATCATAATTTCCAAACTTCACTTGAGGCAGCATTGGTGTCCATTCTGTTCATTTTCTTCAGTTTTACTCACAGAGCCATTGAGAACATTCTCAGGAATGGGAATGTGGTGATTGGGAACGATCCGTGGCACCCATCCCCTGTCCTCCGCACCCCACAGAATACTGTTCAAGTCTGGGAAGTTCTGGAAAATGTCGTATCCCTCCTCTGTCCAGTGGCCCAAAGCCCAGTTCCCCATCTCCGAGCCCTAGACAAACAAGCATCCGCCCAAATTAACAATGACTCGCATGATAAACAGAAATGGCATGGGTGGAGAACAGGGAATATACCATCTCATAGGCCAGCTCATAGGCATCAGGGTTCAGTGAAGGCACCAGATGAATGCGTACGCTCTCCACAAGGCGGCGCACTCGTGGATTGTCATCATTGTATTCCTTACAGAGGAACTGCATCAAGAGCAGCAAAAGTTCCCTGCCCATCACCTCATTCCCATGAAGCCCTGCTGTGTAACGGAACTCTGGCTCACCTTATAAAAATATAGTTTGACTGATTAGTTTAAATGGGAGCAAACTAGTTATTGACCGATACATTTTCAATGCAACTGGCCAATGACCAATATAATATTGTATTTATACACAATGGGGTGCAATGAGTTGAGTTTGAGACCATACTGAAAATATGGAAATATTAAAATCTTAAAATAAACCAATGTAAGAATTTTGAAAAATTACGTTAGTTATCTTTCAGAATGTAAACAATTTCTATTATTTTTACTCAACTCTTCACCTGAATTGGTATGTTAAATATATGTGTAAAATGCAAAATACAAGCAATTTTGCAAATGTTCTCAGATTTTTGGGCATTTTTTTTAATATTATTTACTTGAAATGACTCTTAAATTGCAGTTTAATTGGCTAACGCATTGATCTCTATTGTAAACCATCTTAAAACATACCCGTCTCATGTTCTCCAGGATTATCTGAGATCTCCATGGCGTACATCTTCAGCCCTTGAGAGCTTTTGCCGATGTTGTATATTCTGGTGATGTTGGGACATTCTTCGTTGATCACCTTCATCATCTGTTTATAGACACATATACATGAAAACTCTTCAGCAAGACCACAGAGGAGTCACAAAATAGAGTCCAAACTTCACGCTGGACGTGTTTTGACGTGCTGCTGAGCCTCAGCGTTGACCCCAGTGACCTTGAGAATACCTGTGTGGCTGTAAACGTCTCACCTGTCTCATCTCTTTGTAGTTGTGATGCCTGTAATCAAGATCATCCGTCGGTGGAACGTCGTTCTCTGTTGGATAACTAGCTGGGAAGAGAGAATCATTTGAGCTATTTGACTTATGTGACAAAAATAGGATCAAAAATATAATAAGCCCATATCTGCCACAAAAAAAAATCATGCTTTGGTTAATTAATGAGATCCAACTGTAGCTATTATGAGCTAAAATGTTGAAATTCTAAAATAAAAAGTCAAAATTATGAGGAAAAAAAGTCTAAATTATAACAAATCAAAATTATGAGAAATAAGTCAAAATTATGACAAACTAATTCATAATTGTAACATAAAAGGTCTAATTGTTTCTGATCATTTTGACTTGGACTGATATTCTGACATAGTATGACCATTTTGATTCATAATTATGACTTTATTTGTCATAATTAAGACTTAGTATGCCAATTCAATTAATCCAACAATTATGACTTAGTATGTCATAAATTAGACTTTTAAATCTCATAATTATGAATGAATTAGCCATTTTAATTTGTCTCAGACTTGAATTTAGACTTTTTAATCTCATAATTCTGATTTAGTATGTCATTTCAATTTATCTCATAATTATGACTTAGTATGTCATAATTGATACTTTTTATCATAATTGTGACTTTTTCCCTCAATTTTTATCTCATAATTTGCCCTTTATCTTATTATGGCTTATCTCATAATTATGACTTTTTTTTATCTTATAATTATGAATTAATGTCATTTCCATTTATCAGAATTCTGACTTATGTCATAATTAAGACTATTTATCTCATGTTTATGACTTACTATGTAATTTTAATTTATCTCAGAATTATGTCTTAGTATGTCATAATTTAGAACTTTAGTCATAATTATAACTGTATCTCATTATGACTTAGTATGTCATAATTTTGACACTTTGTCTCATAATTATGACTTAGTATGTAATTTCAATTGATCTTATCGATTTATACTTTTTAACTCATATTTTTGACATTTAATCTCAAAATTATGACTTGGCATGTCATTTAAATTGATCTCATAATTATGACTTAGTATGTCATAATTTATACTTCTTATCATAATTAATATGATATTAATTATTTTCTCAATTTTTATCTCATAATTTCCCCTTTATCTTATTATGACTTATCTCATAATTTGGCTTTTTATCTCATAATTATGAATTAATGCCATTTCCATTTATCAGAATTCTGACTTGGTATGTCATAATTAAGACTATTTATCTCATGTTTATGACTTACTATGTAATTTAAATTTATCTCAAAATGATGACTATGTCATATGAGCATGTCATTTAATTTTATTATGATTTAGCATGTCATTTAATTTTATCTTAGAATTATGACTTTGCCACTCATATTTTTGACTTTTTAATCTCACAATTATGATTTAGTATGTCATTTAAATTTATCTCATAGTTATGATTTAGTATTCCAATTTAGACTTTTTATCTCATAATTAGGATTAATATCATGTAAATGTGTTTCATAGCATTACATCAAAACTAATGAGTAATCTGTCACACTCAGGTGAGAGCTGCAGTGCTTACTGGGTAACGGGCAGCCGAGCACCTCCAGCCTCATACACAGGCTGCCGTTCCAGCTCTGCGGGAGGATACGGATGTAACGCGCCACAACCGGATACGAGAACTCTGTCATTACTGGAGTGTCTTTATCCACATTCCCATAAAAGAGCTGTGGGGTAAAGAAACAACAGGATTTGACCAAAAAAAGAGGAAAATCTCAAAATGTGACCCTAGACCACAAAACCATAGACACCAATAAGGGTCAATTTTTTTTTAAATTGAGATTTATACATCATCTGATAGGATAGGACAATATTTGGCCGAGATACAACTATTTGAAAATCTGGAATCTGAGGGTGCAAAAAAATCTAAATATGGAGAAAATCGCCTTTAAAGTTGCCCAAATGAAGTTCTTAGCAATGCATATTACTAATCAAAAATTAAGTTTTGATATATTTACGGTAGGAAATTTACAAAATATCTTCATGGAACATAATCTTTACTTAATATCCTAATGATTTTTGGCATAAAAGAAAAATCTATAATTGTGACCCATGCAATGTTTTTTTGGCTATTGCTACAAATATACCCCAGCGACTTAAGACTGCTTTTGTCCTCCAGGGTCACAAATGTTCTTTGTATGCATGATGCCTGACTATAAAATATTTTATGCTGTTTTAGCATATGTGAACTGACCCACTCAGCGTAACCATCATCAAGCACCGTCCAATCACGGCTGTCGTTACTGAAGGCCACGAAATACGACGACACAAAGTCATCACTGGAAGAGAGGATGATTTGCCAGTTTAGGTGTCTTCTTGTCTTTCTTGTTATCAGAAAGAGTCCAAATGATTTGATCCATGTCTTACTGTGTATCCGAGCTCCTGCCCTGCGTGATGACGCTGGTGAACTCCACCTCTCGATGGGCGTTCACCTGAAACCAGTGCTCCTTCTCCTCCGTATCAGCACACCACGCACCGCCATAAACGTCGTCCTCGTCAGCTGAACTCTGGAAAACAGGTGCTCACTTCAAAATCTAGATTTTTTCATGCATTCATATACAGATATTCCCTTAAGTTATGGGTAGGGGAGATCAGAAAATGACGCAAGCCAGACTTGAACTTGCATTGCTCACATGAGCAGCACAGCTCAATATGTCTTACTTAGCTGCAAGTACTCAGAAGTACTTTAGTCAATTTGGAAATAATCAGTTTTTCGTTTAAATGTATGATTGAATTATTAATTAAAAAACATCATACACCTGGTTTGCATGTCTTAGTGGTTCACCAAGCTGGTTTCCACTAGTCAGACTGATCTGGTTTGATGATTTAGACTGGGAAACTGTAAAAAATATTGCAAATTTGCAAATAAAGATACTGGAGTACGTTTTACAAGAAAAATCTTTCTTCTTCAAAATGTCAATTTTAATTACAAACTTGAAAATAGTTTCAAAGCCAAGCTGGCTGACCAGCTAAATCATCTTAAAAAATATCAGCAGAACATCATAGGCTGGTTTAAGCTTTCTGTGTTTTACAGTTCACATGATTAGATTAGTTTAAATTAAACCGCTTAAATTTCTCTTTAATCTTCTTATATTCTTCTTTTAGCAAATTTTACCTCCAATATTTGTGGACAACATTTGCATTGATTTGATTTGAACACTGAAAAAAAAAAATCTAAGTAGTACAAAACAAGACAACATAACTGCTACTGGGGTAAGAAAAATAAACTTGTTTATTATGATTTAAGTTTATTTTTCTGACTCCACTGGCTGATATTTTTTCTTGTTTTAAGCTCACTTAATTTTATTTATTTGTTTATTAATTTATTTATTATTTCGCTTTGATAAATGATTTTACCTCTCAGATAAATGTATCTTAATTTAAGAACGTTTAGATATTTGTACTGGAAAACAAGACAAAAAATACTAAGGTACAATTTTATTTATTTACAGTAATAAAGCACTGTAATAATAATCAAGCATATTTGCTCTATTTTATGTGGCACAGCTATGATCCTATTCACAATACGCAATATCTGAATTATTGTGAAACTGTAATGTGGTTTGATTGTGTGTGTACCTGCATGTTCAGACGTCCTCTCAGGGCTGAATGACCATGATGAGACATAGAAGATGCCAGTATCTGATCGTCCTCCACTCGATGAGACTCCATGCCAAGAGGAGGACACTCTGACAGACGGGAAATACGGTATCATTCTTTCTTAAAGCCTGTGATAAGAGCACTGACAGCGCTCTCTGAGCAGTTGTATTTTGGACACTGCAGCTGCCCTTCATTTTTTACACAGGAAAACCATTTGTGCTGAACAATGGCTGAAGCTGGAGCCAGCAGCAGTTCTGGCCAGTCTGAGTCGAAAACGCTGAATCTTTGTGGTGGAAGAACATGTCAGCTCTGACATTTACTGCCTTCAGCTCAAGAGTTTGTTCACTGAACTCACTCAATATCAATTCTGCGCTCACAAACAGCCACTTCTATAAGAGGCTGTGTGTTTCTGCTCTGATTATACTGTGATTTGTGGCTGTTTTCCAGAAATACTCACTCTTTGGCTCGGCATGAGGAACCGTCTGCTTTCTCTTCTCCTCCTCCTCCTCTTCCCACATCTTCCGTAGTTTTTCCGCTGTGTAAGGGAATGGAGAGACTGAGACTTGAAATAGTTGAAACAGGTTATTGTAGCCTTGTTTCATAATAAATCTATTCAATAAATGCCAGCACAGCTCTAAATGTGCTAAAAAAATATATATTTTGCTCTAGTTTTCCAGTACAAATCAAGAAAAAAATTAAATAAAACAAAAAAACCTGCACTCAATTAGTTTGTAATTTATGGCTATTTCATAATTTTCCATCTTTTTATGAATATATTCTGCTTATAATTATCATATAATTGGGCGAATCTTACAAAATCTGTCTAGAACATTTATGGGATTTCACCTAAAATCAAAACAAAAAGCATTAAAGAAACTGAAAACTGTTTTGCATTATTTTCATTTTCATAGTCATGCATTGCTGTTTTTTTTTTTTTTTGGTCAAAGTAAATCTTTCACAAAAATACAAACAGAACAGCTAAATGCTTTCTAATTAATAAATCAAAAGGCATTTTTCACTACATCTCATTTACTGCAGACCACCCAAAAGCTGGCCAACCTACAGAACGCATGCAATAAAAGCACATTCTCTTTCATTTGAACAAACATTACATTGATTTACACACCCTTCTCCTCTTTGGCCTTTCTTGCTTTTTCCAGCTCTTCCTCCAGCTTCTTTGCTGCCACTGAATTTTCAGAGAGAGCAAATTAGGATAAAAATAAAATATACTAAACATTCAAAACACAGACAGATTCAAGCTGTTTGATAGAGCCGATTAAATATAAAAGATTGAAATGGTGCAAACGTACAGTCAGAATAATCGTATTCCTCATACCAAGGGGCAACTGTTGGAGGAGTGGTAGTGGATTCCTCTAAAAGGAAAAAAGACATTATTTTGATAAATGTGAGTGAAAGAGAACATAACATGCTATTTATTTGCATTGCATTTCCTGCTCATGTTGTTTTTGCATTCTCACATTAGTGCATAAACGAAATTGCATGTAAAATCAGATTTTATTTTGTCTGAATAAAATGTGAGTGATGTTTGCGGGGTGCAAAACTCCACACCATGATAAGGTGTTTGGAGGAGTTTTAAACTTGTTATGTGGCCGTTTTTTTGTTTTTGTTACAAGTATCATCTTTCCCAGACTTTTCGAATGTAAATTGGCCCTTGATTACCTGGGATTGGTAAGTATATACATGGGTCATCAGTGCTGTGTGGCTCCTTGACTTTAGGGATGAGCTCAGGCTCTGGAACTTCATCTGTCAGGTGATAAAAGTTTATTATTATAGTAATATTTTGAGAATCTGATTCTACATTCTTAAAAATAAATGATCCAGAAGAGGGTTTTCACAGTGATGCCAGAAGAACCCCTTTGGTTCCACAAAGAAACCTCAAGTGAAATTCTTATAAAAGAACATTTTTTTCTTATTGTGAAGAACATTTCAATAATCTAAAGAACCTTTTTCCACTTATAGACCTTATGTGGCTTTGCCCCTTTTCAGCGCTGCGCTCGTTGTCTTCCGTTTGTATTTACACAGCATGTATAAGGTCGTACGAAGTTATGAATTAACTGTTTGTTTTAAAATCTGCCCAGTCTACTGACATCTGCTTCAAACATTACAATGCACATGATAACTTTTGTTCATAAGTAAATCCACTTCACCAGCTAATTACTAAACGGTGATGCTATACCACAAAAACGGAAGTTCAAAGACAGGATTTTAAAGATGGCTGCACACTTGTTTCTCTGACGCATAAGGTCTAGTGCAGGGGTGTCAAACTCAATTCCTGGAGGGCCGGAGCCCTGCAGAGTTTTGTTCCAATCCTGCTCCATCACACATACCATGTAGTTTTCAAATAAACCTGAAGGACTTTGGATCAGCTGTGTTTAATTAGGGTTGAATCTAAACTCTGCAGGGCTCCGGCCCTCCAGGAATTGAGTTTGACACCTGTTCTAGTGCAATGGAAAAGTTCAATGGATGTTAAATGTTCCTCATGGAGGATGCCAATAAAGAACCTTTTTAAGAGTGTATGTGTGCCACTTCAAACGTACGTCGGGCGTCCCAGTAAGTCGGGTCGTGTTCTTTGATTGAAGGTGGTGTAATGGCGTCTTTCTTATTGTGGACGTCTACTATAAGGTAAAAAAAGAGAGATAACCAAAGTGAAAGATTATGAATAGCAGTGTATTGATGAGAAAACAGCAGCTAAAAGACTGGAATACGATATTTGTACAGGTTTTTGCCCCGATTAGTCGACGCAAGTTCATGAACATCAACAGACAGTCTGCAGTTTTTCGTCAGTCGGAGTTGACCGATATAGCAGAAAATCTTGTTATGTATGATGGTCACAGACTCCGATTTCCAAGCTTCAGGCTATAATATAGCCGCTATACAATTTCATCCAGTCAGGATATCGTAACACTTTTTATATTTTGATGCGATTTTGGAACACATATTTAGTTTTTGTTGGTCATGTTGTTTACCACGTCTCTTTAATAAAGCCTGCAGATGGATCCACACGTCTCACGTCTCTTCAGCCCCGTTACAATAATATAGACGCTATACAATTTCATCCAGTCAGGATATCGTAACACTTTTTATATTTTGATGCGATTTTGCAACACATATTTAGTTTTCGTTGGTCATGCGTCTCCTAGCAACAAGTTGCATGTTTTTGTGTGAGTTTGGAAGTGTGTACATTTTAGTGTATGATGTTTTTTCTTTTCCTTTGTAAGAATTTACAAAGTCGCCAAGTGTTTGCCTAGTGCACGGGTGGCAAACTCCGGTCCTGTAGAGTTCAGCTCCAACTCTAATTAAAACTCATCTGCCTGTAGCTTCCTAGTAACCGTTCAGACCTTGATTAGCTTGTTCAGGTGTGTTTGATTAGGGTTGAAGCAAAACTCTGCAGGGCTGCGGCTCTCCAGGACCGACGTTCGCCACCCCTGGCCTAGTGTTTTAAAAGTCATGTGATGTATTCCAGCCTTAATGTGCTCTGTACACAACAACCCAATTCTGTTAATTTTGTTACATCTATAGCCTAAATGAGGCCATATGGAATTAAAGGTGAAGTTTGTCATTTCCGCCCCACAATGATTCTAAAGATGGTTTAGAATGTGGTTTCTTTGTACGCTCAATATATTCTGGTTTCAGGTCCCTTCTTTAATGTAAGTATGTGGGATTTCTTTCCCCCAGTGTTTACACTCCACAGGAAGTCAATCAAATGACTTATAATTAGGCCCACTCTGAATCTGTGTTTGCAAAAACCTCCAAAGATTTTAAGATCTGAAGATTTAATGAGCTCATAAAGTTAACCTGTTAAATTGTGTGTGTTGTATTTGTTGTCATACCATGATCTGGGCCAAAGGGTTTCGCAGTCTCTGTCTCCTTTGGTTCTGTTGGAAATACTGAGCACAGAAACTGTATTTAAAAAGACCACAATAGCATTTGCTGAAAAATAATAATGTGTTGAAGAAGATTGCATCAACATACACGTGTCCCATCCCAGCTCCAGCAGCAGTTTCTCCTCTTCTTCCTCCATGGTTGGCTTTCTGCTTGGTTTAGTTGCTCTAGTCCTTGGTGTTGTGGTGGGCTTCGGCGCTTTTGGCTTTTTGGTGGGTTTTGGAGGCTTTGGTTTCTTGGTGGGCTTTGGGGGTTTGGGTTTTTTGGTGGGCTTTGGTTTCTTGGTCTTGGCTTCCTTCTCAGCTGCCTTCTTTGCCTTGGCTAGACAATAAATGAGGGAACGATAACCACTGTCATACAACTTTGGTTTCAAAATCATACAAATGTGTTTTTCTATACCCTTAATTCACAGAAAACTGTCCACAAACATTATGGAAAAACGTCAACATTAAAGTGATGAATTATAGCAGCAGATGAAAGCACTAAAGAGAACTCCTGCTGACAAACAAGGTCAACGTTTCAGCTATATTTGCCTTTATTTCTGCATGTGTGTTAAAGATATGATGCTTTTCCATAAAATGGAAAATGTTGCTCAGATATTTCTCCTAAAGTTCCATGGGATCAATGTAAACCAATACAACTGAGATAAGAAGTCTAATATGTGCTTTTCTTTTGTGCAGGTGCTGTTTTATCTTCACATGAAGAAGTCACGCTGACATGCTGAAATTGCCTTTTATAGACGACAGCTTTGTGTCAAACTTATAGTTGTTCACAATTAACAAATCAAAGCTTTTATGAAGTTTTACAGCTGTCATAAGCTGCTGAAACCACTCTGACGGTGGGAGCAACACTTGATTAAATCCAGACCTTTGGAAATAAATCACTAAATAAATCACTGCTTAGAGTGTATGAATTACTACACAAGCTTATGTTTAAAGACTTACGAGTTACCAAAACATCTCTTTAATATATCTGTAATAATGTAATATTTTTTCTAGACAGCAATGATATTAAATGTGAATAAATACTGGAAATGAAGACTTTTCTGCTTTTGCTTCTGAGAAAAAGAACCAGTAATCTCACATTAATGTGTTAATGTCTCAAATAAGTCTGCAATTGAAAGTGAAAGATCTCAAACATTTCTCATCAGATACTTTGAGCTTCATTTTACAGCTTTATACTCTTACTGTATGACAACTGTTGAATAATTTGGCTCAGAAATATAGGGTGAAACAATGTCGATCCTTCAATACAAGATAATTGAGATCTTCAGAGCTACAAAAGAGCATTAAAATCTCCCTCAGGATGCTGTGTAACTTCCTTCTGTTGATGATTTTCAGGCCGTGCGACTGAAGGAGAGCTGTCACACACACACGGCCGTCTCAAACAGATCAGATTTAAGTGAGTGTTTCAATTCAAACCAAATGTCGGCTCCGTCTCTCTTCCCGTCTGTGTTACTCGAGCCTCACAGGACTCTGACATGAGCACAAGGGAGAAGGAGAGAGAAGCTCGTGGAACATTTGTTATCGTATTCAAGATCATCTGTGATTCTCATTCAACCCACAACTGTCATTTCGTTCCCACATGCCTCCTTCATCAGGTTTTTTTTCCAGATGAAGGACAAAAAGAAGAAAAAAACAGCAGCAGAAAGTGTGTCAGTGGACTGACCAGTCATGGTTTCGCTAAAAATGTTGCATAACCTCAAAGGAGCCAATAAAGCTTTTGGTTCAGCCAGATATCTGTCATTACAACAAAGCACAGCCTTCCTCTCCTACATGAAACTGGTCTTCAACCACCAAAAACCTCATTACATAAACTCTAAATATAGTCTACTGAATGTTCAGCATTTTATGAAGCAACTTACCAGCTAATAGCTCCTCGGGTGTCTTTTTAACCTTTGGTTTTTGTTTTTCAACCATCTCTTCTGCTCTGGGCTCATCCATCTGAGTGTCTTCTGAAAATCCATCCTGTTGTAGGTCTTCTCTTTTTGAATTAATCCCGCTGTTTTGCCTCATTTGGATGCTCCTGGTTCTCTGGTTGGACTTGGCAGCATTAACCAACTCGTCATTGATAACAAATGTCAAAATCCAGCACAGGGCAAATAAGGCTGCACACAGAGGAACCCTCTGCGCCTGCATGGTCTTCTGGGATCTTTTACGCCAATACTACAGTTTAGAGATGGTGTCTTTTCCAATGGTAAGTGTGCGGCACTTGGAAAAGCAAAAACTGGTCATCTGGGACTCGTCTAATTGTTTGTGAAAACTAGTTCATCCAAATGTTTGGAGATTGCTGGGGATGGAATCAGTAAGGCTGGTGTGGAAGTCAGATGTAACGGGGATCGTGGCTGTTTTTCTCTCTTCTAGTGGAATGGAATTCCACTGACATCCCCCTCTGAGTGAGTGAGAAGGAGGACAAAACCCACAGAAAAAAAGAGGAGGAGACAAGAGAGAGAGAGAGAGATGTTGTAAGTACACATTCAACCATTCCAAAGATGTTTTTGCTCACCAAGGTTGCATTTATTTGATCAAAATTACAATTAAAACAGTAATATTGTGAAATATTATTGCAATTTAAAATAGCTGTTTTCTATGTGAATATCTGTTAAACTGTAATTTATTTCTGTGATGCGCAGCTGTATTTTCAGCATCATTACTCCAGTCTTCAGTGTCACATGATCTTCAGAAATCATTCTAATATGCTGATTTGATGCTCAAGAAACATTTCTGATTATTATCAATGTTGAACACAGTTGTGCTACACAATTTCTGTTTTTATGGAAACCGTGATACATTTTATTTTTCAGGATTCTATGATAAAAAGGAAGTTCAAAAGAAGAGCATTTATTTGAAATATAAATCTTTTGTAATGCAATACATGTCTTTACTGTCACATTTGATCAATGTAATGCACCCTTGCTGAAAAAAATTAATAAAAACTTATTGTTCTCAAACTTTTGAATGATAACATATATAATATTTATTTGTATTTAATATTTTATAAATTGTATACACAGTTGTGCTACACAATTTCTGTTTTTATGGAAACCGTGATACATTTTATTTTTCAGGATTCTATGATAAAAAGGAAGTTCAAAAGAAGAGCATTTATTTGAAATATAAATCTTTTGTAATGCAATACATGTCTTTACTGTCACATTTGATCAATGTAATGCACCCTTGCTGAAAAAAATAAATAAAAACTTATTGTTCTCAAACTTTTGAATGATAACATATATAATATTTATTTGTATTTCATATTTTATAAATTGTATATTTATTTATTATTCGCATTTTTATATTATTTTCCATTATTACAGTAATGAGATGTTTAGAAGAATGTGTTTGTTGTGAAAATGTAAATAGGCAACTACAATTTTTGTAGAAACAGTGATAGATTTTTTGTGTGTCAGGATTCTAGAACAGAAAGTTCAAAAGAACAGCATTTATTTTAAATAGAAATCTTTTGTAACATTATGCTTTTACTGTCACTTTTGATCAATTGAATGTGTCCTAGATGATTAAAAGTATTCATTTCTTTAAAAAAAAATCTTACTGATCCCAATCTTTTGAAATATTTTTAATCGCAGCTTTATATAAATACTTGTATTATTTAAAAAAATATTGTTTTTCTTTTATAACTAAAATAAATACAGAACAAATCAAGAAAACTGACATTGGTTGGAAAACAATCTATTGAATGCATGCTTGCTGAATAAAAGTATCATTTTCTTTTGGAAAATAAAAGAATTGTAGTGTAAATTCCATACTTTAATAAAACATACCTGGTTTTCTTCAGCAGTACTTTTTTAATGCGTTTATTATAAGCCTTTTTTCATTGAGCAAATGAGATGACACTGGTGGACTGAAGCCATCATTACCAAATAATGCCTAAAACCTCGTTTGCAGAAATAGCACAGATCTGGCCTGGTTTTGGAAAGACACACTCTATCAGTTGGGATGACACTGGTGGACTGAAGCCATCATTACCAAATAATGCCTAAAACCTCTTGTTTGCCGAAATAGCACAGATCTGGCCTGGTTTTGGAAAGACACACTCTATCAGTTGTTCTGTCTTCATATTTCTTCTCTTAATCTTCAGTGGTTGTCAAGCATGTTTGCCTTGTAGAGCTAATATTTTTTTTTAATGAAGCCAACACAATTATGACTCCATTCCTGCTTAGACTTGCATGAAGCAAACTGATTCAGAATGTGGAAAATTAATATGATTTAAAACGCATGATTTCAGCGCGATAAACATGACAATCAGAACCAAAACAGATGTTTTTAGCAGGTACGAGCTGTGGGGGCGGGGAGCAGCAGCTCATTTGCATTTAAAGAGACAGGCCCGAAAAACAGCCTGTTTCTGCTTCCACTCAAAATAGGCATTTTCAAAATGATATAATAAATAATCTGTGGAGTATCTATCTGAAACTCCACAGACACATTCTGGGGACACCAGAGACTTATATTACATATTGTAAAAAGGGGCAAAATATGTAAACTTTAAATTAATTACAAAAAATGGCAAGTAACACATTGAATTAAACATTACATTTTGAACTCTGAAATGGCAAAATAAGATTGTAGCAGTCAAAAGTGCAAAACTATAAACTTTATTGCGTCCTCTTACATTTAAATTGTGGTATAAAATACAATTGTTAAAGACATTATAAATATTATGATGACTTCATTATAAAAAAAAGTTAAATATTACATTAAATATATTGCTGCCGTTCATTCATTCTTAAAAAAATAAACCTTCTTGGAGATTCTTCAAGAACTTCTTCAAATCAAGAACTTCTAATTTAGAGATTTAAAAAGTTCTCAGATCAGTCTATTGGTTTCTGTTCTTTAAAGCCCCAGAGAGCTAGACAAACGTAGGTCAGAACATCATGACCCTCAGTGGTGCTGGTAAGGTGTTTGTGGTGTGTAATAATGCACAGGATTTGCGTGATGTCCAGGCAGCGCATACATAAATGCCCGATGTGCGCAATGGTTCTGCTCCTCTCCTCCATGACCTTCTTCTTCCTTCTTCCATTTGGTGCACCAGATCTTGACCTGTGTTTCGGACAGACGGAGGCCTGTGGCGATGCAGTGGCGCTCAAACACCGACAGATAGTGGCTGTTCTGGAAGCTACGCTCCAGGATGCGCAGCTGATCCAGTGTGAACGCAGTGCGCATGCGCTTCGATTTGGGGATGTTTGAATCTGCTGCGTCTTGAGATGAAGCCGTCTTGGCACTGTCTTTATTTGCAAGTTTAACTGAAATGTAAGGAAGAAAGATGTCATTATTATTATTTTAATTATACAAAAAAAAGGCCAAAAATATATATTTACGTAAAAGTATTTTGAAATGTATTTTAACAAATATATTTTTGGCCTTTTTTGTATATCTAAAAATACAAATACATTTTTGTATTTTGTTGTTGTTGTTGCATATTTTAAAATGTATTTGAACATGTTTTTTTCCCTGTATGAACAAAACGCAATATTTGTGATTTATTTATTAAGATGATAAATGCTCGATTAGGGGTTGTTTTTTTTTTTTGAGTTGTTTTTGTTAATAGGTTCGTTATGTAGTCACTACTTTGCACAAATTCATGAAAAAAAATACAATGTAATTTTACAATTTTCATTAATCAAACTCCTCACTAATTCATGTTTTTACTGCTGTTGGTAATTTGATGCTTTACGCATGGGTAGCTTTCAAAAAACGTTTTATTTTCACAAATTACAGTATGTTGCACCAACCAAAACTAATATGCTACTTTACATTTTGAAAACCTACTTATTTTCACCCTTTAAAAAAACAGACGAATGGCTGAAACTCACTGGAGATTTCCTGCGTCCTGATGTCTCTCTGCGTCTCCTGATGCTTCCCGGTGAATTTGGAGGGATCCAGGATGTCTACGATGGAAAAAGAGGTTTTTCCCTGCACTGGTGAACTTCCTGTTTCTTCATTCATGCTGACGGTCAGTTAAACAGCAGCCAGTAAGTGTGACCGTGTAACTCACTCAGTCCTGTGATATCTGAGCATCTCCATCAGCTCACAGCGCTTATCTACAGCTCAGACAGACGCGTGTCAAATCAACATGTTAAAGGATCTCGGTGAGTTTAAACCAAGCTCTCAAACTCCTCCTTTACACGCGTTAACATCTGAATGTGTCTCAGTGGGTGACACGCTTCCTTTGCCATTTATTGCATTGCATCTGGTTAAAATGTGCCCTTTTCTGAAGAGCCGTGTAGTTTTTTGTATCAGAGCTTGTCGTTATTTGCAATTGTGTGATTTTACGGTGGTCGAGCGCGTGAGAAGCTGTTGTGATGCTAATTAATCGACTAAAGTCCTCCAGAAGAAAAGCCTGTTAAAGTCACTATTCTGGAATAGCATGTAAAAGAATGAAAAAAAAAATGTATTTCTTTAATTTATTTTAAAAAATCGAGTGTGTGTGTGTGTGTGATTTGATGTGCATATTTGTATTTAATAAACATAATAAAAATGAAATAATACAAATTGACAATGCATAAATTATTTTCATATACTTTCAATCTATTATATATCTAATCTATTATATCTAATCAAATTTATTTTCATATAAAATAATACTATCTATCTATCTATCTATCTATCTATCTATCGTTCTATCATCTATCTATCTATCTATCTATCATCTATCGTTCTATCATCTATCTATCTATCTATCTATCTATCGTTCATCTATCTATCAATCTATCTATCTATCTATCTATCGTTCATCTATCTATCTATCGTTCTATCGTTCATCTGTCTATCTATCTATTTATCTATCATCTATCTATCTATCTATCTATCTATCTGTCCATCTGTCCATCTATCTATCGTTCTATCTATCGTTGTATCTATCTATCTATCTATCGTTCTATCGATCTATCTATCTATCTATCTATCGTCTATCTATCTATCTATCTATCTATCTATCTATCTATCTATCTTTAGATTTAATAATTCAGGTGACCAAATGAAAAAAAGAAAAGAAATGCATTTTAATGTAATATGTTAATATAAAACTTTTATAATAAAAAAAAATAAAAAAATAAAATTTCTTTATCAAAACCGACAGATATAAATACACTTTTCTTTAAAAATAAATTGTGCATTTTGATGCTCTGGACAAAACTGAGGAACAGTTAAACATTTCAATACAACATAATTGTGTTTTCACATTTTAAAAAACACTTCAGAAATGCATTACATTTTGTGAATAGGATTTTTTTTTTTTTTATCATTTTGTGTATTCATGTGTGTTTGTTTTACCTGGCATATAATATTTTAACATTTAATACAATAATTTAAAATACATTTATTTTTTAAAAATGTTATCAAAACCAAAAAGATAACTAGATACACAAATATTTTTTTGTGTTTTTCAAATATGCATTTAGCTTCTCTGTACAAAACTGAGCAACATTTAAACAATACAATACAACTGAATGCAAAATACATTTATTTTCTAATTTATAAAACACTTTAATGCTTTATATATAGGAAAATAAAATTATTTGTTATCATTTTGTGTATGTGTATTTGTTTTAATTGACATAATATTTTTATAATTTAATAAAATGATATAAAATAGAATTATTTTAAAAAATACTTCTTTTTTTTTTAAATTAAAACCAAACATAAAACAGATAAAAATAGGCAGACTCATTTTTTTCTTCCAAAAGAAAATGTGCACTGCTCTGTACAAAACTGAGCAACAGTGAAACATTTCAATACAATATAGCTGAATGCAAAATGCATGGATTTTCTCATTAAAAAACATTTTAGGAACGCTTTACACTTTGTGTAAAGTTATGTGTATTTGTTTTAATAAACTCTTATGCATGCAAATAAAGTTTTTTGGGGTAATTTAATGTTCTAATGCATCTGAAAAATGCAGCAGCAGAAAGTGTGCTGGTCTCCAGCGGGATGAGTGTGTGCTCAGTAGGAGCCTCCAGACAAAGGTCTTATGATGCTGTATAATAAATAATGGCTGAAGGCTCCAGAGGTGGCCCTCGGTGGCAGCCGCCAGCACCAACTATACTGCTGGTATTCACTGCTCGAGGCTTCGCCGGCCCACCGGGACAATTAGCCGTGTCTGTGACCCTGCCTGACCTGCGCCTTTGTCCCGGCAGTGAGGATGAGGCGGAGTATCAGCGAGGGGCCTTCAGCTCAATCACACAGCAGAAGATCTCCAGCGCTGCTGCTCAAAACACATTAACCTCATTAACCTGCACTGCTTCTGTCTTACACTCTTTTGAAGTTGATCTCATATAAATTATTGACCACTGCATGGGTCACCAAAGTGGATTTTAATAGGCTTATTATTTAAAAAAAGCCTCAATGATCTGAAATGCTCAGATATGTTGCTTTCAACCTGTTGATTCCAATGTTATAAGATGATCAAGATTTTGTTTGCTTGGATACATAATCTTGAATGTTTGATCATCTGTTTTTAATAATTTTGTCATGATTTGCTGTTGAATGAAAAGCTACTGTGATGCTAATTAATCGATTAATTAATCATAGTCTTCCAAGTTATGGACTCTTTTTAGTTATGTATACAACTTTGTCCTTGATGCCATACTTTGTGCTTGTACTTTGTACTGTTGTAAGTGTTTATTGAGAATAATGTCAGGGCTCGTCGTGTCTGTACGTCACAGATGGCCAACAATACATCAGCGAGATGTATTTGAACGATCCTCTTTCCATTCCATCAGCAGATCATTGTCCTGCACTTTCACACAAAGAAAGATGCTTTAGTGCTAATGGAAGTTTAAAGCGTGTTTTACAGGTTTACGATGGATTTGTTGTCCGCAGTGGACTGAAAGAAAGAGACACTGAAGAGTTTGTTTGCATGTCAAGCATCTGTCCTTACAGGAAGAAACCTCATGACAGTGCTGTTAAACACTTCTGAGCAGTTTACTACAAACACATAAATTAAAGAATTAAAATGAATAAAATATACTTATAGGACAAATTGCATAATCTCTCTCTCTCTTTTTTTTTTTTTTTTTGGAAAGCTGCTGCAGTGATGGTTTTGTTTTTAAATTTTTAGTGAAAGAAAATTATAGAGAAAGAATAAAAAAAGATATAAAATATATCTGTACGGTACTATACTATATTCAAGCAGTATTGCAAGAATTGTTTTAAAACATAAGGTTGCCTACAGTTTTAATAGAATGAATGAATGAATGAATGAATGAATGAATGAATGAACAATTAAATATAAAGTATAAATACATCTCAAAGCGGTGGTCTTGTGTTTATTATTATTGAACTAAAAAAATATTTGTAAACTAAAATATTAGTGAAAGGTATTAACAAAAGAAAAACAGCCCTTTTTAACAGAAAAAACATATCAATACTACTATACTATACATGCTATGCTATGCTATACTATGCTATGCTATGCTATGTTATGCTATACTATACTATACTATACTTTACTATACTATACTATACTATACTATACATGCTATGCTATACTATGCTATGCTATGCTATGCTATACTATATTCAATTCAAGTTTTCAATTCAAGTTTATTTGTACAGTGCTTTTCACGATACAAATCATTGCAAAGCAACTTTACAGCAAATTAAGTTTCTACAATATTTAGTGGTAGCTTATCAGTGGTGACTGTCAGTTAATGTACATATGGCAGAAATGTACGGAAAAATCAATTAAAGACGTAATCAAACAGTCGATGAACACTATTAACAGCAATTATTATATGATGCAATCAAACTTATAGAGCAGCATTTACTTCACAGAGCCGTAGTTCACTGAGAAGCTATGCAAACAGCTGTCATTATCACGAATGATTTCTTCAATTTCAGAATCGCGCAATAAAATTGTCTGCGATTTTTGAAGTGACAATGTCTGTATATTAAGTGTCATACTGATAATTAAGTGAAGTCATGTTGGTGTTAAGAGATTGAGTTTGAGTTTAGGAGCCTGATGGCCTGGGGGACGAAGCTCCTCCTAAGTCTCTCGTTATACATGCTATGCTATGCTATGCTATGCTATACTATGCTATGCTATACTATACTTTACTATACTTTACTATACTATACTATACATGCTATGCTATGCTATGCTATGCTATACTATGCTATGCTATACTATAC